TGCGGCTTCACGAGGTGGGAGTCGTCCACGACGACCTCCACCAACAGAACATCTGCGTCGTCTTCGTCGAGGAGAAGGTGCAGGCTCAGGTCATCGACTTCGGGCTGGTGACATTCGTGGCCGACGAGGACGACGAGAATCAGAGGGACGACGCCCTTGAAAACTTCGACTTGCTCGCTGAGGATGTCAGGTCACTCCTCTCGAAGAGCTCGCTGTCCTAGGACTTGCCGTGGCAGGAGTGTTGGGCTCAGTCGGACGAGGAGGACGCCGAGCTGAGCGCCAGCAGGTTCTGATGAGGACGAAGAGAGCGGCGAGGAGGAGAGCCAAGGCGGTGCCTCCTTCGCCAGCAAGACGTCTGAGGAGGACGAGGAGAGCGTTGAGGATAACTCCGCGGAGGAATTCGTCGAAGGGCTCGAGAAGGAGGCCCGGGCAGTCGCCCGAGCCCAAGAGTCCTCCGGGCAGCGCGCAAGACCCTCAAGCGCGGATCTGCTTCGGACGCGCCCCCGCCAGGAGGCAAGACGCCGCCGCACGTGGTGAACACACTTGTCTGAAGGAAGTTCCGTCTGAATTTTAAATTAAAAATGTTTGTTCTGTTTTTTAAAAAAAAAAAAAAAAAAAAAAAAAAAAATCCTCAACGACTTAACAAGTTTCCCAAATTAGCCTTATTGTTCCCACAGTGTTTTGTCACGTGGACGCAGCCGAAGGAAAAACAAAAAACAAATGATACTAATACTAACAAAACGAACATTGTTAATTTCTGTTTACCTTTGTGTTCACGCTATTATATATATATATATATATATATATATATATATATATATTATATATATATATATATATATATATATATATATATATATATATATATATATATATATATATATATATATATATGTATATGTATGTCACACACACACACACACACACACACACACACACACACACACACACACACACACACACACACACACACACACACACACACACACACACATATATATATATATATATATATATATATATATATATATATATATATATATATATATAAACAAATTCTCTGTGTGTATACGTGTATGTGTATTTATCTACACACACACACACACACACACAACACACACACACAACACACACACACACACACACACACACACACACACACACACACACACACACAACACACATATATATATACACACACACCACATCTAATATATATATATATATATATATATATATATATATATATATATATTATATATATATATATTATATATATATATACGTGGAAAAGGTTTATTTCAACTGCACCACACACACGTGCATATATATATATATATATATATATATATATATATATATATATATATATATATATATATATATATATATAATATATATATATATATAATATATATATATATATATATATATATATATATATATATATATATATATATATATATATATATATATATATATATATATATATATATATATATATATATATATATATATATATATATTATATAATTATATATATATATACACAAACACACACATATGCATCTCCCTTTATAATGCAACTCCCTCTGCCTCCTCTGACGTAAACAATTACACTCAGGGTCCCTCGCAATCCCTGCGGCAGACGAGTACCAACCATTTCGTCACATTATAGGGACCCTGATAATCTAACATAATTATCAATTTAATGGAAACAGTTTAGTTTTTTTTTTTTTTTTTATTAGTTTGAGGGCGATGAAGATCCGGAGAACGTTATGATTGATATCTAATTAAAAGAGTTTTTTTTTTTTTAAGGGAAGAATTAGAAAGTTATAACGAAGAAAACAAACAGAAAAGCAAAGAATCCGGATGGAAAAGGAAGAAACCCAACTGACAACAGGTAATAAAAGATAAACGAGAGACATGGAGGAAGGAAGTGAGGATTCCGTGGTACTGATTCAATGAACAGATGGATCTGCACCAACAAACTTGGTTCAGGTCCAGCTTCATATAGCCTTTTAGACGAAAAAAAATATAAGCAAACGGTAGAGCGAGTGATTCTAAGAAAGTTATCTTCTATCTTACTTCCTTCTTCTATCTCCTTCTTCTTCTTATCTTTTATCTTCTATCTTCCTTCTATCTACTCTACTTATCATCTGTCTTCCTTCTTCTATCTACTTCTTCTTATCTTTTATCTTCTATCTTACTTCCTTCTACTCCTTCTACTTATCTTCTATCTTTCTTCCTTCTATCTATTTCTCCTTCTACTTATCTTCTTTCTTATTTCTATCTTACTTCCATTGTAACAAAAATAACGTTACTGGTCATGCAAGTGTCCCAGAGGCAATGAATCCTACGCTATCCTATACTATCCTATATTCTCTAATCTTTGACATCTAGCACATTTTGTTCGAATCTTGAACTCCTCTTTACCCTTTTCAAGACAATAATTTATCATAGTGCTATAGAACTTTTGACGTCGAGCACATTTATTTGTATCACACATTTATAGACAAAAAATGGAAAGTTATCCATTCTGCAGATGATGCCGAAATCAAGAAGAAACCATAACATATAATGCTACACTGTCCAAGATCCAATTCCCAAAGAATAAAACTAAAACAAGCCTTCAGATAAGCTAATATACAATATTAATATTAATCTTCTGATTACAGGTGCAGACCATCTATCATCAGTAAAGTACTACATATTGAGACCTACAAAGATTTTCCTACAAAGAACCAAACTAACTGACATAATATAAGAAACAAGAAGTACAAAACAAGAGGATTCGGGGGATATAGACAATATTAAAACCCTATTACAAGAAAGGAGAAGAAAAACAACTTGATGCCTCCTCTCTTCTGCAACTTTTGACATGGCAGAAGTGGAAAATTATACTTACGTGGTGGTAGGAGGAGGCATCGCTGGAGTCACTTGTGCGGAACACGTGAGTTTTTGAGATTTTGAATTGATAATAGGAATGAGGTAGGAATAATAACACAAGTAAACTGGGACAATATGCAGCATACCAAGGAAATAGCTGACTAAAATCCTTTGGTAGTGGATATAGTGCCGTGAACTGGTAACATTCGGGAAATATTCAGGTGTGAAGTGCTCTGATTGGCCAATGGCTGTGATGTCACATACAGGGGATGCCACATGCAGATACTGTGCATAGCAGTGCTATTGGACTATTTTGCCATTTGCCAAACCAAACCAATTCAGACCTAAACCAAGCCAAGCCCAAGTCCAAGCCCAAGCCCAAGCCCAAGCCCAAGCCAAACAAACCTAACGTAACTCAACGTAACCTAACCAAATTGATACTGTGCTCCAACTCCAAGCGCTTTATGGCTGCTTCAATCTCAAGAAAGTCTGAAATTTTATCACTAATTTTCAGTAATGCTGTTACCTCCATGATTCCAGGATTCCAACTGATCCGTATGCTCCTGCTGCTGTAATACAACCAATCACAGCAAGCCTGATGTTGCGCATGCTCAGACTTAGCAGCCAATCAGAGCGCACCATGGCAAAATAAGTGTTTCTTGAACATAGCCAGTTCATGGCTATAGATACACTTCAAAATCCCTGTTTTTTTTTTTTTTTGTGTGTGTGTGTAATTGTGTGAAACCTTTTTCTCTGCATTTTTTTGGTAATTTTACTGAATGCTTTTGCATAACATATAATGATAATTGTGGTATCATAGAAAATTCCTCTACTGTCCAAATATATCAAATTTATGCCACAGAACCCCCCTCCTCCACATTAGTGACAATCTAATGCATAAACCCAATGCTGCCAGGAAATTGTGATATTTAGTGTAGTATTGTTTTGTGAAATGTCTCAACACATGGATGGCTCAACAAGTGTTCAGCCACCAAGGAGTCAGCTAATAGTCTATATCCCGTTCTTAGAGTTTTGGGGATTTTTTTTTCTATTGACATTGATATTCCTGTTTTTTTTTTATATTGACATTACAATTATTATAGTGTTATTAACAAAGTTAATGAAACAATTTAGATAGGTTGGACTAGTGATTGACTTACTGGTGACTAAATGCTTGTGGACCATCAGTGTGTAAATACAATTGATATACTGAGCTCACTGTAGTTAAAGCATGTACGTGCCATCCTCTGCAGCATATGGTTAAAAATAAGCATTTCAATATTATACTTTCCTTGAACTTCACATAACTTGAGAAAGAGGAAGGGGGGAGGGGTAATGATGATCTGTCATGAGGGAAAATGAAACCAAAACGTTAGAGAACAGCTGACTTAAAGTGTTCACAGAGCATTGAGCAGCAGTCATAACTTTGGGTTTTTGACTCCAGGTGAGAATCATGATGCAGGTAAATCATTTCAGGTATTTAGATGGCTTATAGTCCTCAGTGTCAGAAAACTTTGTTTCAACTATAACTTTAATCTTTATATATGCTCTCCAACACTTTTGAAGAGATTGTATTAAGTACTGTCAGCAACTGAGTTATATCTATACATGCATAGTATGTATTCATATGCTGGGATTATGGGATTATTAAGTGATTCCTGCTATTTTGATGCCTATATTTATGTTTCAGAGAATATAGGAAAAGCAACAGAACGTCAATATTGTCTCTGATTATCTTTTATAATATTTAGAGTGATCTGCATATTGGAATGAGGCTTGGCAACCAATTCACACAAGATAGTTATTGCCTTTTTCCTTTGAAGAATTGAAAACTATTTTGAAGATTTTTTTGAGATAAACTAATTTGTATTGGTACACTAGTAAGGAGAAATGGAGTTAGTACTGATATTATATTAGGAAAATTTGCTAGAGGTTGACCTGTTGGGCTTATATTATACAGTAGTTTATTTTTTTGATTTGTTGAAAAAAGTGAAAAAGATATAGGGAATAGTATAATGTTTTTTTTTTTTAGGTAACTCATTAGTTTGTCTTTACAGTTGTATATCCTACATCCAGAGGAGAGAACATTAGTCATCACTGCCTCGGCACTC